CGCCGTTCGCTGACCGTCGCGCGCAGGGGTCAATCAGGATCATGATGGTTCGCTGGAGTTGTGGCCTGTCGACGCGGCTGCGAGGGAACCACAGGTCCATCTGGACTTCGCAGTTGAACTCCGCGACGCGGCAGTTGTAGGAACTTACCATTTTCTACAGACATCACAACCTTGCACCATTCCGAGGACTCCTCCTACCGCGCGCGTTGGCACGCCAGCTGCTCGCAGGAGTGCCTGCGCGTGCGTGGGCGCAGGGTGCTATATGATGTGCAGCCGTTGAATGGCTCATTTCCCCAGTTCCTCGTCGTTGGACTTTAGTCTGGCCATCACGCGCGAAACGTCGTCGGCTCGCCAGGCCCCCCTGGACACCTTCATGCGTCTCGGCGTCTGCTTTGCCTGAAAGCGAAACCCCAGCTCAGGAACGAGTTGCGCGAACTTTCGGGCCCCGCGGCTCGCCCAGCTCGCCCGGCATCAATTCCCCCCCTTCGCAGAGGGAGGGCCGACCTCAGGCGGCTGCCCAGGAGCGTCGAGATGCGGCCCGCCAACTGGCGCGATCAGCGGTGCGGCACTGCCTGCTGGAGGCTGCAGCGCGCACATGCCCGCGCGCGTCGCCGCTTGCGCCAGGCGCACCACTATGCCCAGCGCCACCACCCGCAGAGGAGCCCAGGCGGCTCGTTCTGCATTGGAACCGCCCGCGGCGGGAGCTGGAGGGCCAGCGAGGACTTCTCCGAGAGGCCCTGGGTCGTCAAGCTGCTCGTCGTCGATCCACCGTTTCCGCCGATCTGCTTCTCCCGCGGCTCGGCTGCCCAGGTCTCTGACCAGCCCGCCCCGGCGCTTTTGCTCATCCCGATTGCGAGCGTCGGGGGCAATGCACTCCCAAACTACTTCTGCGCAGCCCGGGCCCAAGGAGTCTTTCCCAGCCAAGCAAGCGGGGCACTTGATAGCGTCTGCGGGCTGGTCGCGGCATCGACGCACTTCTAGAGGCCCCCCCGATCTTAAGGTGCGCCAGAGGCGGCGCCAGGCTTTGCGCCCGCTGCAACCGTCGCAATCAAAAACAACGCCCTGAAGCCACTTCCGTAACACGGGCTACGCATCAAAGTCCCCCTGGGCACAGTCGCCGCATTGTTCGAGCCGGAATGCGGCGCCGCACGGATCGCCGATGGCGAGCGCCGTCCGGGCATCGTTGCCCACGAAAATTTCAGCGTCGCTGCCAGTCGTCGACACGCTGTTATGGTACCATTCGTTGCTTCATACGCATGGCCTTCACCTCTTCGGGCGTCTCGTTGCATTCTAAGTGCGCGCATTTGTTTTTGGCTCTGGCGCGTGAGTCTGTTGGGTAGGCAGCTTGCGACTGTGGGTCAAGGTCGTCGGAGGAGGTTGCTTCGTCTGCTGCGACGGCGTTCGGTGGAAGTTGCGTCGCAAGCAACGTTTCCATTGCGCGGGGTGCAACTGCTTCCATTGGCTGTGAGCGAAGTGCTTCAGCAGGGTTAGTCCAAGTGTCTGCACATGTGAAGGTCGCCAACTTGCACAGCGATGGTGGTGGTTGCTCTGCTGGGCGCCGTTGCTTCGCGTAGTCTCTGGCGCTGGCTTCGTCTCGAAGATGTCGCTGGGCGCGATGCCACTCGCGGCGCGGAGGCGTTATTTCGTCAGAGCTGACAATCTCGAAATGGATCGCGACCTTCTCCACTAACTGCTCGCATGCAACGCCGCCATTCGCCGCGCAGCTGGACCTTTGGCGCTGACTGACACGAGGCATGTCCAGCCAGAGTTTGCGCGACATCACCAGGTGCTCGCCGCGCATCACCGCCTCGTCGCCCACGCCTCCCCCGACTCCCTGCGCGCGCCAGTGCACGCGAGAAGGGCGTCCCAAGAGGCCGCGGATGCATCTCGCTCCTGCGAGGAGCTCGCCTCGCACTGGAAAGTCGCAGGCTTGCGCTTCCAAGACAACGTCTCCTCCTTGCTTCAGTTGCTCCCATACCATGCCCGCGAAGAACTCCAGGGCTGCGCGGGCGCGCGGGCGCCTTCCAGGCCCCTGAAACAAGTGCGACCACTGGGCCCAACGCAGGGTCGGCTGGTCAAGGTGGACCGCTCGAAGCAGCGCGCAGGCATCAGGTGATGCCCGGCGGCGCTAGAAATTCAGCAGTGGGCGCAGCTGAAGATCATGCTTCCCAGAAGTCGTTTTGATTGTCGCCTACCTTTCTCCCGCGAAGAATATCATCGGACATGTACGTTCATGGTTGAGGCTGGCAATGGTTGCTGGCGGAAGCGGGGCAGGGGGCTCGGGCGCGGGCTGCGGCGCCAAACGCAGCGCCGAAGAACCGAAGCGCACGGCTGCCGGCGGCCTCGAGGTTGGCGCGATCGAGCACCCGCCGCCCGAAGTGCTCGGCGCGCGCGGCGTTGGTCAGGAGCCGGCGACCCCCTTGTCAGCCGAGACGGCGGAGGCCTCGGCGCCTTCGTCGCCTTTCTTCATCAGATCGCGCCGAAAGGAAATCAGAATCACGCGGCCCGAGCGCGCATTCTTGCGCTCGATTACCCGCGCGCCTTTTGGCCAGGTGATCTGGTCGTCTGCGCCTTCAGGAACCATGCGCAGACGCCCTGTCCGCGCGCGCACGCACGTGCTCCGAGCTGCCATGGGGCCCAAGCCGTAGAGAGCAGGGATTTCGGCACCTATGCGCCGAATAGGATATCGGGTCAACCTCGCCCACCACTCCGAGATCGGCGGCTGCGCGGCGTGCTATCTGAGCACCCTTACCCGCGCCACCCATCCGCCAAGGCTGGTCCAGCGTCGCCAAGGTGGCCCCGCAGCCACGGCGCTGCGCCGCGCGCGACTGTCGGTCTGCAAGGCCCCTGCCCGCGAGGTTTCCGCGCCCGTGCGTTCACCAGCAGGCCGCCCTCACCATCGCGGATATTGGCCTCGCTGTGGTTGCACACGCTCTGGTGTTCCATGCAGCTCTGCGCATCTTCGCCCCACTCGAAGACTGGGCAGCGGCGGTCGTCGCACTGTTTCCAAGGGTCGCCCGCCACCAACGCGCCCACCTCGGCGCTGCCCTGCCACCGCGCACGGCTGGAGCTATGGGTGCGCGGGCGCTCGGCTGCGGACTCGTCACCGTTCCAGGAGACGGGCGATGGCGGAAAACGCACTCTGCTTTCCGGCGGCGCCCGCGTTCCCACCGCAAGCACGGAGAGACCTGTCGCTCCTCAAAGCTGCCTTCCCGCATGCCTCCTTGGTAGGCGTGCACCAGGGTCACTCCGCATGGCAGTTGGTTGCGGCGGAGGCGGGGCTGCGGCCGCAGCGACAACTGATGGCGCCGCGCGAGGCTGAGCTGACGGAACTACCACGACTCCGTCTGAGAAGACATCCGCAGGCCTCTCGGGGACAGGCTCCGCGAGACTTCGCCGCGCCTGCTCCTGGGCAGGCCATTGGAGTGTTTGACGACGCGGAGCTGGCCCAACACCAGACGACGAGGCTGCGCTCGAGGCAATCGTCGTTGAAGCTACTGCTGGGGCGGGAGGTGCAAGTGGAATCTGGCGGCCGCGCAGCGCGCTCGGCGGCCGCGCCGTCGTAGCTGGGAGACACGGCAGGGATGGCAGGGCTGAGGCTAGGATTTTTTTCACGCACTCAACATCCTCACCCCATATGCGGTGTCTTGGTGCGTTTCGTGGTCGCCTTTGTTGACGCGCTGGCAGCGGGCGCTCACAGGGCCCACGCGGCGGCCGCACTGCAACTGTTACTACAGGAGGTTGTAGCATCCACACTTCTACGCATAGCGCTCCTGACACCAAGCACACGTCTGTGCCCGACGCCACCTCCAGACGACTCCTGCGCCTGGGAGGGAACATTCCTATTCCCTGCCCTACTCGGCATGAGGTCCCCCACTGGCGCAATACTCACACACCCGCGAACGTTCTCGGGGCAGCACCGCGTCGCCGCTGCACGCGACCACGACGCCATGGCTCACGCACTGACCCGCGCTGCCCACGGGCGGCTGCTCTGCTGCTGCTGGAGAGGCCGCCAGGGGGGCCGCAAGGGCCCGTCGGCGCCCAGCAAGGCCGCGAAACTAGCTGCTGCGGCTGGGCTGCAGCGGCCGCGCGGGCGCGAGCCTCTCTTGCAGCACCTGCACGAACGGAAAAGCACCAACAACACCGTCATGATCACCATGCCCCCCCTCCTCCTCCATCCGGAAAACTCTCGGCGGTGGCGCAATCTGCTGGAAGCTGCGGCTGCGCGCGGGCGCCAGAGCTGCAGCTGCCTTCTCCGAGCCGCGGGCGGCTGTCGAAGCTGCGGCTGTCTGCTCAGAGCTGCGGGCGGCCGTCGGGGCAGCGGCTGCTTCGTCGGAGCTGCTAGCGGAGGTCTGGGCTGCGCCAGCGGACTCTTCGCGGCTGCGACCGGGAGCACCGAGTGCTTCCTTGCGACGTTCGTCGGTCGCCGTAGTCCGTCGCCGCCTCGCCCCTCGTCCCTGACGCCCCCCCCCCCCCCCCCCCCTCCGACACCCTGCTCCCCCCTGGTCGCGAAGTGCTCCTCCGTGCCCAGAGTGAAAAATTCCCCCCCGTCCTCCCGCTTCTCCTCGAGGCTGCGCAGGTAGTCCTCCTCTGCGGTTCCCGCGAAGGGCACCTTCCACGGCTGCGCGCAGTCCTCGGCCACGTGGCCGGGCTGGCCAGAGCTGCGGCAAAGGTTGTCTGGGCTGCGGCAGTCGGCCGCCACGCGGCCCGGCTCGCCACCCTCGCAACACTGCACGAACTGCGGGGCGCCCCGCTCGGTCCGAACGCCGTGGGAGCGACGCTCGAAGAATGCCTCGACGTCCGTCTCAAGTACGTGGCCCGTGCTAACGAACGTCTGGCCCGCGAAAAATCCCGCCCCGGCGCTCCGCCAGCAGCGCAGGGAGGGCCGCGCTTGGCGCGGCGCTCGGTGCCGGAGCGAAACGGCCCGCTGCCGCGCGGCACGGTCGCTCGGCCGCCCGCGCCGCCCACCACGCCTGCGCAAGGTGGAGGGGGCCCTCCACGGACGCGAGCTGCTCGGCCTCCAGGCGGTCGGCCGGCCAGGGGTCCTCGGCGGCCTCGCGCTCCCACCACTCTGCGTCGGTGGACCAGCGCGCGTCGCCGCCCGCCTCGTCGCCCGCTGCTTGTCCGACGTCGAAGAACTCGTCCTGGGCAGCAGCTTGCTGGGCGAGGCGGGGCGGTGAACCGTCGGCGCCACCGAAGCACGCGCATGGCGCCCCCGCGCTGCCTGGCCAGAGGGGCTGGACGTTCTCTTGGATCGCCCTGTCTCGAAGCAGCCTCGCCGTGACCAGCTGGCACTCCTGCTCCGCCCCCGGGGGCCCGCGGTCACACTCGCGCAGAATCTCTGCCCATTTGCGCACCGGCAGGCGCGGGAACGCAGTGGACCGAGACCCCCAGCCCCGCGCGCGGGCTTGCCCTATCGAGCAGGAGGTCGAGCCGCGGGAACATGCTCTGCATGTCCTCGTCGCGGCTGGGCGTAAATTTTAACAAGTCAGGCCCTGCGCGGAGCATCTGCGTCTCTGGGCCAGGAGGAAACTTGGCCAGCAGCACCGCCAAGAGGACGCCGACTCCTGACTTTGCCACGTCGTCCTGGCCGTCACCGACGTCCACCACGGCGCCGCGCTGCAGGATCTCAACCGCGACCTCGTCGGCGATGGCCCGCGCCGTCGCGCGGAGGGCGAAGCCGAGCATCGGCCCCTGGCGCTCGACGCTCAGCTTGGCGGCCGCGGTCCAGCTCTGGACGTCCCGCGCGCATTCCGCGATGGTGTACGGGCACGCCGCCTCGTGCTCCAGCTTTGGGCTACACCATGGCGATGTCTCGGTAGATGCCACGGCCGCGCTGTCTGTAGCGGCGGGGAGCTGCGCCGAAGATGTGCGACTGGCGCCGCGCAAGCGCGCCGCTGCTGCCGCTGCTGCCAGCCACCATGGCTAGCGCTGCAAGTCGTGGGCCAGATTGCCGGGCGGAGGTGTTGGGCTTCGCCTGCGCCTGCGCGGAAGCGTCAGCGTGCGCCTCGGCGGGGGCTCCAGCTCCACCTCTGGCTCCTGGCCCGGCTTCTCGCCCAGCGACCAGTCCAGCTCCTCGGCCAGCTCCTCCTCCTCCTCATCATCCTCCTCCTCCTCCTCCTCCTCCTCCTCCTCCTCCTCCTCCTCCTCCTCCTCCTCCTCCTCCTCCTCCTCCTCCTCCTCCTCCTCCTCCTCCTCCTCCTCCTCCTCCACGGTGGCTTTGAAGACCACAGGAGAACCGCCGCGAAGTCACACTGACCGGCGGCAGGCCTGGCTGTGAGGCTCCCACGGTGCACATAAGCAAATGCAAGTGCGAGTCACCCTCTCGCGTTCCACCTCAAGCCGACGGGCTGCTCGACGCGCCTCGTTTTCCAACGAGTGCGTGTCTGACGTTTGCAAGGGGTAGTCGTAGGCGCAACGGTACTCGTAGGCGCGTGGCTTCAGAGCGCCGTTTCCGACGCTCCGCTACCAAGAATTGAAGCGCCAGCTGGCGCTTTTGAGTGAAGACCTCCAGGAAAATCTTCAGGAAGAAGGGGGAAACAAGAAGAATATCAAGAATGGATGGTGTAAGTACGATGTGAGAAAAAATGTGTTGCAGTATGCCTTGCTACACTCCTCTGGAGAAGAGCGGCTTGCAGGCGCGCGCGGAGGGGGGGGAAGCTGAGCACTACCAGTCCTCTGGGCGCAGGTGAACCATGGAGCCCCCCAGAGAACCGATGCTCCCCCTTCGGGGAGGGGTTGGCCCCCCGCCCCCCCGACCCCCACATCGCGAGGAGGAGAAGGTGGAGGAGGAGGAGGGGACGGAAGAGGAGGAGGAGAAAGCGGAGGAGGAGGAGGAGGCGGAGGAGGAAGAGGAAGAGGAGGCGGAGGAGGAGGAAGAGAAGGGAGGAGGAGGAGGAGGAGGAGGAGGAGGAGGAGGAGGAGGAGGAGGAGAAGGAGGAGGGGGAGCAGGAGGAGGCTAAGGAGGAGGGAGAGCCTTCCCTCCTGCCCGTGGGCTGGGCGTGACCTGGGAAGCTGGCGCGGGGGCCACCCCTGGCCCACCGCGGGAAGCAGGACGAGGCACGGACGAAGACCCTTGTCTGGCGGAGCCTCGGACTTGAGGAGGAGGAGGAGGAGGAGGAGGAGGAGGAGGAGGAGGAGGAGGAGGAGGAGGAGGAGGAGGAGGAGGAGGAGGAGGAGGAGGAGGAGGGGGGGGAGGAGGAGGAGGAGGAGGGGGGGGGGAGGAGGAGGAGGAGGAGGAGGAGGAGGAGGAGGAGGAGGAGGGGAGGAGGAGGAGGAGGAGGAGGAGGAGGAGGAGGAGGAGGAGGAGGAGGAGGAGGAGGAGGAGGGATGAGGAGGAGGAGGAGGAGGAGGAGGAGGAGGAGGAGGGCCAGCGTTCGCCCCGGGGGCCCTCGCGGAGCACGCGCCTCCAGAGAGGCCTCTGGCGGGTCCCCCGCAGGAGGCCGCCGAGAGGCCCCCGAGGAGCCTCCCGAGCGAGACGCCAAGAGGCCTCGGAGGGGACATCTTACAGTCAGGCGGGGCATGTCCTACAGGCGGGATTGGGACGAAAACTGAAAAACAGATTCAAGAAATGCTCAAACATAGTCAAAACATATGCAAGACATCGTCCCCCAGGCTATGTTTCTACTACTTCTGAATGTTCCTCCTGTACAGGGTACATGCCCGACTTAATCTTACAGTCAACCCGCATAGTAAGGATGGGCGACCTTCCCAAGGGTGCTCTTTGCATCCTTGTCCCTTCGGCTCATACTTAGCGGCATTCGCTGGCCAACCTCGTTCGAAAAACGTCCACGGCGCCCTCCAAGGCCCTTGCATCCTTGCCGCGCATCCTTATGATACGGGTGGACTGTGGGACTCTTTCCAGGCGATTGTGAGGTGACATTGGACACTGCTGGGAAATTGTTTGGGCCCATCGGTCGCTGAAAATGTCCACAGGGGGGGGGGGCCCAGGGGGGAGGAGGAGGCTGAGGAGGAGGAGGAGGAGGAGGAGGAGGAGGAGGAGCGAGGAGGAGGAGGAGGAGGAGGAAGAGGAGGAGGAGCGAGGAGGAGGAGGAGGAGGAGGAAGAGGAGGAGGAGGGAAATTGTTTGGGCCTCTCGGTGGATCTCTTGGGACTCTGTGGGAGCTTCTTGGAGCCCGAGGAGCCCTCCTGCGGCCGTCTTGCGACCCAGCGTGGGGTCAAGTACGAGTGGCCCTCCGGTCTTGTCGCAACTACGATTAAGTCGGGCCTGTCCCCCTACAGGGGGATTTTCGACGAAAAATAAAGAAGACCCCAAAAATGCCCCAAAAAATAGTCCCCGGACTATGTTTGGACTATGTTTTGACCCTCCTGCGGCCGCCTTGCGACTGGCGTGGGGTCGAGTACAGGTGGTCCTCTGGCCTTTTCGCAACTGCGAGTTCTCCTGAGAACAGCAGGCAGAAGAACGGGAATGCGTACCGCTCGGAACGATGCACACATTGAATCCGGCATGTCCTCGCGGCGTGGGTGGACTGGCACTTCGTCTCTTCCAACCCTCAGCTTCACCTCCGGGGACTGGCTTACGCCTCTCCCTACCCTATGTCGCAACAGTCCCCCGTTGGCCTAGCCACGCGACGAGGGTATTGAAATGGCTATCGGGATGGACTGAATATCGACTTCATGCCTGTCAGAGACTTCTTCTGGTGTTTGGGGGAGCCTCTCGCGGGCTTCTTGGGCGCCTCTTGGGGCCTCCTGGCAGCCTCTGCGGGCATCTTCGGGGCCTGCTCGGGGGCCTCTGGGGGCCTTACCATCTCGGGCCATCGTGCTGCCAACCATCGTCCGCTTCACGACTTGACGCCCTCGGAGGCCTATTGGGACCATCTCTTGGGCCCATGTTTGTGAGCCAATACGGCATCACATCGAGCATCAAACTCACACTGCTTCAGATTGCCTTTCCGGGTAGATAGCCAAACCGAACCCCGGCCTGGCCCCCCAAGTCGACCAACAAATGATAAAAAGTCATGCCCGAGAGAGGTCGTGAAAAATGCCGAACGTCGGGCCCGGAAACGAGCGAAATTCGAGCGGCAAGCCGACTCGCGACTACACTCCAGCAACATAAGCAGGAAGCCCCTCCGAACAAAACGGGCCCGGGAAGACCGATCGACAAATCAAAGGCCCGTTGTCTTGCAAGTGGCGCTACTCCTGCACGAAGAAGGCTCAAGAAGCGCCCAAGCCCGCCCAGCATGCAGCTCCAACGTGGGAGCCATTCGGAGAGGGCGGACGGGAAAGCCTATCAAAATCAAAGGCACACCGTCTTGCGGCGCTGCTTCTGCACGAGGACGGCTCGAGAGAGCGCCCAAGACCGCCCAGCATGGGTCTCCGGTGTGGGAGCTGCTCGGAGAGGGCGGAGGACTGGACCGGCGGCCACAACCAGGGCCCCATGGCCGCGCCCTCTGATGCTGCACCCGCGGGCCGCTGCCGCCGCCGCCTTCAGCTTCTTCTTTCCGATGCTGATGTCGCAGTCCTTGGCCTGTGCGCGCGCGGGGGATGGGGCTGAGGAGGAGAACGGAGGAGGGGAGGCGGGAGGCAACAGGGAGGGAGGGAGGGGGGTGGGAAGGCAGGTGGGAGGGAGGAGGGGAAAAGACAACGACGACGTCGATGAGGAAGATGGAGAAGATGGTGAAGGTGGGGGAAGATGAGGGAGGGCGAGGACGAGGTGAACGAGGAAAACGACGCTGGGAGGCCCATGCTCATGAGAGCTGTGGCCAGGCTGGCTGTGTGGCCAACACTCGGCCTCCCTCGAAACTTAGAAAAGGGGAACGGGGAATCCTTCAAAAGGATCAGATAGCGCGCGATTGACAAGCTCAAAGAACAGCTGCCGTTCGTGATATGTCACCATGCTGCTACCACTGCAGCGATTGCCTCTGCTCTTGCCCCCTGCTCCTCCTACCCCTCACCTTACACCTCGGGCTATTCCTCGTACCTATCACGCCGCTTCTGCTCCTGCTCCTGCTCCTCTCTTTCCACCTCTGGCTCTTCCTCTGGCTTCTCCGCGTCCTCCTCCCATCATCATCCAGCACGACCCACGCGCAACGCGTGGCGGCTACTGCCTTGACGGTGTCCTCAACGGGGATGACTACCCTGAGCTCAGCCTCCCGGTGGCCGGCGCGGTAGTCCAGGGGGAGCGAGGATGGCACAGGTGCTGAGCCCCGATACCTACGCCTGCAACACGAGGACTGACGAGCGAGCGAGCGAGTATGCCGTCGCCCCGATGCGACCCAAGAAGGTCGGCAGGCGCGGCAAACCAGGTCTCCAGGAAGAGCGGATTGGTCGAAGCAGGTGCGAAATGTAGAACGTGGAGGAGGAGGAGGAGGAGGAGGAGGACCAGGAGGGTGAGGAGGAAGAGGAGGAGGAGGACGAAGAGGAAAAGGAGGAGGAGGAGGAGAAAAAGGAGGAGCAGCAGGAGGGGGACGAGGAGAACGTGGCGGTTTCCTCACCTGAGCTGGCGGTCTGGTTTCCTCGCCTGAGCTGGCGGTATGGTCCCTGGCGCTCTTGATACGTCCTTGAAACCCCAGTTTTGCCTACTCTGTCCCCTCTCATATCGTTGTCTTCCATGCGGTATGCTATCCCCCCACCCCATCCGAGACACTGCCGCCAAAAGCCTATCCCTACCCATGCGTGCTTCCCTTGATTATCCTCTTTCTCGCTACTAGCAGCGGGACGGAAGGCGATCCAGAGGAGGCAAAAAGACTGCCACCATGGATCTCATCAATCATACTGTTCCGCCCTGATGGGATTTGGATCCAGCGAACGCACATCCTCCCCTCCGTTTTCATTCACGCGGCCATGGAGCGTTAAGCCTGCTGTATATCAACAGCCTGCAACAAGAAACACAATGACTGTCGCAGTCGTGCAATAGAATAATGCAACTACATCGCAACAAGCAGCGGCTCAATAATCCGCCGGCCCCCTTGCGGGTCCACCAGGCTGCGAGGATGAGGATTGCAGCTCCATGTTCCAGTTGCAGTTTCCAGTTTCCACTGTTACAATCCTGCTTTCTGCGTCCTTACTGTTAATTGTTGCTGAACGCGCGAGGGGGGGAGCCCCAAACCGCTTTTTGTTTACCACGCCCAGATCGCGTTTTCTGAATTCCTGGGGGGCGTGGGACACATTAAAAATACATGATATTCGCGTCCCCGAGGCCATAATCCATAGTAAGTTGCGCCAGATTCGCGTCCGCGAGGCCATAAACCTTCGTAAATTCCAATATACGTTTCCCCGAAACCATAATCCCTCGGCAATAAGAAAAAAATCGCACCCCCCGAAGCCATATACCTTTGAAACTTCTACCATATTCGCGTGCCCAGGGCCATACTTTTTTAAATTACAAAATATTCGCACCACCGAAGCCATAAACCTTCAAAAATTATACCAGATTCGCGTCCCCAGGGCCATGAACCTTAGTAACTTACACCGTACTTGCGTGCGTCCCCGCGGCCACAAACCCTCGCAAATAGTACAAAATTCGCGTCCCCGAGGCCATCCCGAGGCCACAAACCCTCGCAAATCATCCAATACTCGCGTCCCCGAAGCCAAAAGCCATCGTAAGTTACCTAATATTCGCGCCACCGAAGCCATAAACCCTCGTAAATGAATATTGGCCCTCGCGTGAAGTCCCGACATTGCTTCACGTCAGCGTCCAGACATCCCAACACAGCTCTGGCAAGTCCCATTCTAAGAGAACGGGGCCGGCGGCATGGGGGCGAAGCCCTTACGGATCAAGCTACACATCCCGAGGTATAACGGAATGCGAGTGCTGTGACGGCGGCAATAGGCGTGGAGCGAGCGTGAGGGAAGAAGAAATGCGAGAGCGGAAGGAAAGAGGGAATAGGAAAGAGAGAGAGAGAGAGGAGGGCGGACGGAGCGGAGGAATGGGTGAAGGGAGGGAGGAGGGAACACGAGGGGAGGAGGACAGAGGAGAGGAGCAGGAGGAGGGGGAGGAGGCGGAGGAGGGGGGAGGACAAGCTAAGGGCGCTCGCGTCAGATGTGACGTCCTACCCCTCCCTCCCGTCCCTTACCATGGCGTAGAAATCGTCTGTATTCGCGCAGTCGGATGTCGTAGCAGAGCATAGCATTACATTGCATAGCATGGTGTTGAAGATCAACGCGTATCCTGACATAGCATGGCGTGGCGACGCCCCAAAGTGGCCGGGGGGGGGGGCTTCTGCGGTCCAAAAAATCAACGAATCGACACCGAATGTAGAATCACTTCCGATGGTTGTTCGGGGGGGCAATGTTCTAGATGTTGGGGCCTACTTAGAACGACCGAAAACCATGCCGTGGCATGGCGCTGGCAACAATGACGCCAGCGCTGCAGCGGGAGCACGATTCGGAACGAGCGAAAGCGCAGAAATGAGGCCAGCGCTGCAGCGGGAGCACGATTCGGAACGAGCGGTAGCCCGAAAATGAGGCCAGCGCTTCAGCGAGAGCAGCAGTTTGAACAAAAAACCGCGGAAGGCCAACTCCTGGAACCCCTGTGCAAAACACCATTACGCGGAGGGGTGGCGAACAATCTCTGGACGCCACCAGGGGAGAGAGGAGAGTAGTATTTGTATTGTTTAACTGAAGGAGGAGGAGGAGGAAGAGGAGGAGGAGAAGGAGGAGGAGGGGACAAAATCCGATCATTTGACAACGGGCGAATGATCTTGCAACGAGGAGCAGCATACTCTCCGCTCGGCGAGAGGGGGGCGGATCGGACAGCGCCTCCTCATCGCCTTGTGCGACTGGCGCCCTGGCCCCCAATCTCTTCTGGGGGAGGTCGGTTGTCCAGGGAAGGTGGAACGGGGCGAGGCCGAACACGAGAAGGAGGACACGGACGATGGCGACAACGAGGACTGAACGAGACGGGGAAGAGGGAAGGCAAGGGAAGGACGGGAGGGGGAAGATGAGGAGAAAGAGGACGACAATGGGAAGGGCGAGAAGACCATCCTCATCCTCCTCCTCCTCCTCCTCCTCCTCCTCCTCCTCCTCCTCCTCTCTCCTCCCTCCTCCTCCTCCTCCTCCCTTCTCTCCTCCTCCTCCTCCTCCTCCTCCTCCTCCGTCCTCCTCCTCCTCCTCCTCCTCCTCCTCCCTCCTTCTCCTCCCCCTCCTCCTCCTCCTCAAGAAGCACTGGAACATGTTCAAGGGCCGCTGGATGCAGCAGCAGCGGCGGCAGAATACACGCCGTGGACTTTCCCGATTCGAACCCTGCAAGGCGGACGCGCACCCCTCTTCGCTAGCTCTCTGCACTCGCCGTCTCTTGCAGCTCCTAGTCCGTGTGCGGCCGCACATCCTCTCCCTGCTCACCAGTGGACCTCCTGGTCCCTCTTGACTCCTCTCGCCTCGTCTTCATTTGTACTGTCCATCACTCCTCCACACGCTGCTTGCCGAAGTGTTGTTCGAACAGTGATACCGATGGGGAATATAATTCTGAGGGTGTGCCCCGATGGCTGCGAGGTCGTTTAGTTTCTTCTGCTGGCGCCGAGCAGACATGATGTAAACCTTGGAGGCTCCTCGACCCTTCGAGACTGTGGCCGAGTTCGAAGGAACCTTCGCCTCGAAAGCTACAACCAAGGCGAAGGACCGGGATGTTACATTGCATTGTCACCCATGAGCCCTTGCCTCGGCCCAGGATGCGCAGCCATCGTACCCAAAGCCCTTTCGAGGGAAACTTGACTCGTCGAAAGCCAAAAGCAGGCTAGAATCACGCACGCGCGTTTCGCTAGCGCTTGAGCTATAGATAGTCCTTCAAGCATCGACCACCTTGTCAACTAACGACTTATGATGAAACGTGATCCACCACCGTGCCCTTCGAGGCATGAGCTGGAGTGTCCTCAGGTCCCTTGTTGGGCACCCCGGAGCATCAGTGCTCTATCCTGAGAATGCTTCCTGAAGGCAGGGCATCTGGCAAGTCGTAAAGGGAGGGGGGGGGACCGTCGGGTTGGGAGTCGAGCGAGTCGAGAGCGACATCGGGAATAGGATGAGACGGGGTGTCCAGGGGGGCCTCGGAATGGTCGAACGTGTTATCGGCAAGGTCGACGGGCATGGTGTCAGGCTGGGCGTCAGACGGAGCGTCGACGTCGAGAAAGGAGTCGGGTCGGCTGCAGGGCTGGAGATCAGGGGAGTCGTCGACGGGCAGAGTCCGCGACTGGGCGCGATCGAAGGCCAGTGGGAGTGAGGTGGGGTCGGAGGAGGGCTGGGCGTCGTCGACATCGGCGGGGGCGTCTCGAGGAAGAGCAGAAGGGTCGGCGAGGGGGAGACACCGGGCGCCGTCCAAAGCGTCGGGCGGGGCGTCGGCTCGGGCGTCGGGCCGGGCGCCCAGGGAGGCGGCGGACCGCGAGGTGCAGGGCTGGGCATCGGGTGGAGCGCCGGGGTGGGCGCTGGGCTGCGCGTCGGGAGACGCCCAGGGCTGGGCACGCGACTGGGCGTTGGGCTGGGCGCATGGTGAGGCGCGGGGCTCAGCGTCGCCCGGGGCGTCGGGAGGGGCCGCGGACGGGGCTCTCGGGAGGGCGCCTGGAGAGGCGGCAGGAGGAGCGGAGGGATGGGCGCGAGGGGAGCTGGAGGGCTGCGCGCAAGAACGGGCGCCGAGCAGGGCGCAAGGCTGGACGCGGGCTGGGTTTAGGGCTGGGCACCAGGCGAAGGGGAAGGCTGGGCGCAAGGCTGGGCGTGCGGCGCGGCATCTCGCAAGGCTGGGCGTCGAGTGAGGCCACGGCCAGGCTGGGGGGCTGGGCGGCGAAGAGGGCGGCGGGGGTGGGGCCAGGGCAACACGCCGCAGCTGCAGCGAGCGCAGCCGTCGGAGCCAGCGCCGCCGCCGCAGCCCAGAGGCCGGCGGCAGCGCTGCGGCAGCAGGCGCGGCGGCGCGCGCAGCTCCGACGGCGGCCAAAGCCCGCGCCGCCGCCGGGGACCCCTGCGCCCGCGGCGTTCGCGGCGCCCACACCGTCTGCGGCGGCCGCAGCAGCCGCGACGCCCAAGGCGGAGGCGCGTCCCGTGCCGGACGGGCCCGCGGCGACCGGCGCCCATAGCGGCGGCGGCGGCGCCAGCGGCGCCTGCGGAATCCGCGCGGCCAGCCCACAGGGCAACGGCGGCGGCCGGTCGGCCAGCGGCAGCGTTGGCCGAAGCGGCCCGCGCCCGCCGCTGCCGCCTCCGCTGGGCGGCTGGGGACTCCAGTCGGGCGTTGCTAAAAGTGCCCCTGGCCCAAGGTGCCCCCAGCTTTTCGCACTATTTTGGAGCCCCTGGGGCCCCCTGGGCCCCTTTGAGGGGTGCCCTGGAGGCCGTCTGGGCCACCCCGAGAATCCTGGGGGTGCTTTGGGCCAGGGGTACTTCTAGCAACACCCGATCCAGGGGCGCCATAACGAAGCGATGGCGGTGGTCGACCTTGAGCCCTGACCCTGGAGGGAGGAACACCCCCTGGAGATGGCTTGAGCCAATAGCTTGAGGCAAAATGGCAACGGACATATACATATACATATGCATGTACATATACAAGTACATATACATCTGTATATATATAAATAAACAAGTGTATTCTCACTGTCTCTCAGAGCGGCGGGTTTGGCAAAGCCGATCTCACTATCTCGCTGAGCAACGTTTTCAGACAAGATGAAGACTTGTTCCAGCCACTGCGAAGGTATATGTCACGAAGCGCTTCGCGTGCTGCGGCACGCGCAAATCTGACATCTGAAAAATACCCCCCTCATTCATGAGAGGACGTGAGCTCAGCTCCCAGGGCGGCAGGCGGGGATAGGGAGGCGAGCAGAAAAAAGGTGGCTGCGGACGCGACCTGTCGGGGGTCACGAGTGGCCGAAGGCCTCCCCTCCTGTGGAAACCGCGTACTAACTCACATTCACACTGTCTTTCAGAGCGACCTTCAAGGAAGCGGCGGGTTTGGCAAAGCCGATTCACTATCTCGCTGAGCAACGTTTTCACACAAGATGAAGAGTTGTTCCAGCCACTGCGAAGGCATATGTCACGAAGCGCTTCGCGTGCTGTGGCACGCGCAAATCTGACATCTGAAAAAAGACTCCCATACCCATGTGATGCCCCGGGTGGCGGCGGGGATGTGGTCGGCAAAGTTAACAATACTGGCGAAAGGCACTCTTGAGCAGGTCTGGCAGCTTGCGGCCAGCGGCAATTGCCTCTCGCCTCTGGCGTGCTGTCATTTTGCGCAACTGTCGAAGGAGCGTGGCGTGTTTTTTCCGTACCGCCTGACTGAGGCAGGGCACTTCCATTTTCCACGGTCCTGAATCTGCTGGAAGCTTAAAGCCTCGAGGTAGGCGTCCGTAGAGGGGCCAGCGTGGCGGGAGCAACGCGGCACGATCCTGAGGCTCCCAACACCAGCGTTTCTCATGCGTCTTTGACGGCCTTCTCGTAAGACGGCAGGGTGAGGCGTCTGAAAATACAGAGCTGCGCAAGAAAGCGGCCACACATTGACGCAGGCACGGTCGAGGATGCCAAGTATCAAGGTGTCGTCTTGCTCGCCCGACTTCGTTTTGCCAGCTCTCGTGCTAGGGGCCAGCCAACACCAGGCCCCAGTCCACATGGCGTGAGCCACGCTGCAGAAGCGCTGGCAACAGATCCTCTTTCTTGATGTCCAGCAAGGCGCCTGGTCGCACGTAGGTGTCCACTTGCATTACCACCGCCAGTGAACACCAGAAGTAGAAAGCCTGATTCTTGAGCAGCATCCATCGAGCGATCAGCCAGACGGCCTCGATCGGACAAGGGTCCCGGATGCGACCTGGCATCTGCCGTATCCAGCCTCTAAGCGCTGCTTTTGCTCTGGGTAGCACATGGCCGCCTCGGCCGAGGTGTGAGAGGTGCAGCAGCGCGTAGCCGTACAGGGCCCACCTGCCCAGCTGAGGCTGCTCCCGTTGAGCGAACAGCCAGTCGAAGTAGTCCGACATCGCAGAGTCGGCCGCCTCTGGCGTCCGGAGGCCGAGGCCCTTGCCAGCTGCCCAGGCTCTGAACTCCGCGACCTCGGCCTTGTAGGTGCGCAGGGTGCTGGGCGCGACGCTGCACCCCACCAGGTTGCGGGGCTGCGGAGCGGGACCGTGTCGAACAGCTGGGGGACGGGCGAGTCGTTGTCGCCTGCCTTCGGGTCGATGCCTGGGCGCGGGCAGTGGCCCGCCACTGCTGACCGACGTAAGCGATGAGTCGGCCTGGGACGAGGTCGAGGTCCTCACCGACTTGAGGGGCCGACTGCCACTCGTGAAAGCCCCTTCGTTGACGACGTCGGAGCTTGGGTGAGATCGCCTGTTGGAGACTGGCCGGCACCACGACATGTCGAGACGTGGCATCTCGGGATGCTGGAAGTACGTGATGCCGTCGCGCGTGGGCGCGAACGAGTCGAGCTACATTGAAGCAGAACTTTGAGCCATAGGCTCCTGCATGCCGAGACGCCTGCTTCCACCGAAAAACTTGCCTGTCTTCATCCCACAATCGTAGCTTGCCTGTAACAACGGTACGGACGTGGTTCCCAGGGCACTTCCTGGACAGCTTCTCCATCCCCGGGAGAGCGCCGATGAGACGGGTGGACTTTTGATCGTGCCCTCGAGACCACAAGCGTGCAATTCAATCACTGAGACACGTGAGTCGCCCCAGAGACGAGATGTGAGAGGATTCTCTAGAGCACAGGCGACGTTTGAATTCAGAGACTCTCTGATAACTTCAGCCGAGAACCATGCATGCTGGGCGCCCAAGAGGTCCTTGTCGCGAGCAACTTCAACGTTCCGAATCCCACGCCTAGCGATACTGAACGCACTGCACGGGGCGCCCAGCCACACGCAGGATCTGGCCATTTTGGAGGAGCTTGACTAAATACTGCCTGACACCAGGGTCGAGGAGGTCGTACTCGGGGCCCTGGGCCCTTGGAGATCTCGAGGCCTTCACCGCACGGAACACCAACTGAGGCCACAGCTCGAGTGAGCCCCTCTTGGCCTGCAAAGAGCTGGAGGAAAATAGCACCACGTCTTACCCGCAGAGTACGACTGAGGTCATAGCCTTTGCTGCGCCTATTTCCCAAGAGAGGGCCCGAAGGGGCCGACGTACCAGGAGGAGTCCTTGAGGCCCCAGTAGGAGGCCCACTAGAAGTCCCACGAGACGCCGAAACCGAAGTGGAGGGCCTGGTCGTAGCAGCCCTGGTAGCGCCCGCAGAGGGTCCCGTAGTGGCTCTCGCAGAAGTACTCGTAGGGGAGGCCCTTGAGGTCGCGGAGCTCGTAGGAGCAGGAGCACTGGCAGCCGTGCGGGGAGCAGACGAGGGTGACGGAGGTGCCTGAGGTCTCTTTCTCGGGCGGTCAGTCGCCCAGACAGTCTCGGCGTCGCGGCTGCCTCGCAGCTGACGGGCAAGGGCACTCGAGGCGCCACCGAAAGGGCGGCGCCAGAACGCGGCACGCACTACGGCCATGTCATGGCCGCCACGCTCCAGGCCGAGGTTGGTGGCCTCGAGCGTCGGGTCGCTCCCGGAATCGCAACGCCGAGAGCCAGCGTCAGTCGGATCCCAGACTCCCTCCAGATGACGAGTCGCCCACTGGATGCCACAGCCAATCTGCCAGGCGGCAGCACGTTGACCAAGGTAGCGAAGCCCCCAGTTCGTCTTCTCCGCACCTCGCCCGCGCCCACGATCAAAGGCGCAACAGGCGACCAGGCTGTCGGAGGAAGAAAGGAGCCGCCTCCCATGGCAACGGGGATTGCGGCATGCCCGTCGAAGGCCGGTCAACATCACCCGGCCTTCCTTGGCATTGACATGCTCCGTCGGGTCCACCCACTTGCGCTCGAAGAGGGTCTTCCAGCGCTCAGGGGGGCCCAGTTCGGACTCAGCGGGGGCACCCGACCAGCGTCTTCACGAACCACTCGGTCACAAAGGGCTCGCCGGGCGCCACCAGGAGCCAGACGGTTGGACCTCTGCACGCGCTGTCGCTCGAGCTGCGTCGGGGACCGACGCGGAGCTCCCGAGGCTGGGGCGGCCCAGGGTTCCCCCCAGGCGTCAGGCGAGCCCCCCAACGGAGAGAGGACCGCCCCATCGCAGAGCTCCAAGTAGGGCACCAGCTCACAATGTCGATCCACTCGCTCTTCGACGAAGCGCCAGCGTTCATGGTAGGCCGCGGCCTCCCTGAGCTCAGCGTCGGAGGCGCCCGTCAAGGCCAGGCAATAGCCCAGGTCCGAGGAGTCGGAGCAGTAGGCCACGCGGAGCCTCGGCGCCCCCAAGTCCCGCTGACAGAGAAAAACGAGCCCCAGGATCACTTTGATTTCCTGGCGGACCGAGCCCCAAACACGGCAGCGGCGGTCCAGGGCGCGCTGGATAAACTGATAGACAGTCCATAGGCAGGAGAGCGCCGGCCTATTGAGCATGAAGAGGCGCACCCCGTGGCCGACCCAGATCCGCAGCACCTCGCCTCGAAGCCGACGCCGGCGTAGGAGCTCCTTGCCAGCCAGGTAGACCCGCCAGACTCGACGGGGCCGGCGATGCAGTAGGCGGCGCCGTCTATCGAAGACGGCACCAAAGTGTTGAAGGTAAGGAGTCTGCTCGACCACGTCGTGTGTCCGCATCCCTCGGTCAGAGAACTGTTGCAAAACATTGTGCAAGTCTGACATCTCGGTATTAGCACTCAGCAGCGCGGCGTTGTCCACGTAAGTCGAGGTAATCCGGCTCACAAACGACACTCGAGGTACTCGGTGTTTCTCCCGGGCAGCTCGGGCGAGGCCTCCAGGAACCCCCGCGGCAACAAGATGATCAACAGCTGAGTGGCAGAGGTGTAGTGCCCAGGTAAAACCCATGCTAAGCGCTCTAAAGCACGGGTACACAACATCTGCAGGCAAAACTGGCACCATCTTCTCAAGGTCATCGTCCCAGACCTCAGTGATCCCGCAAGCGCTGGCCTCGTCGGGGTCGTCCATCCCGAACCAGCTGGCCATGCGCCAAGTGTGGAACTGGTAGAAGCCGCCCACCACGTCCAGGGAGCTCCCGGAGAAAGGAAGGGAGAACAGGCCCCCCTGCCCCTTCAAAAGCTCAGCCTCCTCCTCGCAGCTCAGCTCGGCGGTTGTCGGCAACATCAGAGAGCTCCGACAGGCTGAGGTCGGCGTCCGCCCGAGCCGCGATCGCGCCCAGGTCGGCGTGAGGTGGCACCCTGAAATTTTCATTGGTGGCCCGAGCATCCACAATAAGAAGGGTCATCCCAGTCTTCTTCCAGGCGAAGAAAATCGATACCCTCGAGAAGATGCGGCGCCTGAGGGTGAGGAGCTGGTGCTTGCACAGGGTGGCGAACACCTCGCGTCGGCTCTTCTTTGAGCGCCGAAAGTCCGGGCACCAGTATGGAGTGACAGACACGCCTCCCAGTCGGTCTGCCTCCAGCTCAGCGCCACTCTTCAAGATGCGTTTCCGGAAGTCCGCGGCCAGCCGCAACACAGCTAGGGGGGGCACAAACTCGAGAGGCAGAGGAAAGGTCGCGCCCTTCGTCACCTTCAGCTTTTCGGGAAGGTAGGGCGCCATGTGCTGTGGCTCATGAGTGCACAGGTCTTTCGCTCTGCATACTTCTTCGAGTGCGTCAAGCGGGGGAGGTCATGCGGCCGATCGCCGTACAGGCTGATGCGATCATCAAGCGAACTCAATATCGACATCTGAGAAAAAGTGAACCTGCCCGGGCTACCCTCGCAAAGGCTGCCCTTGTCTGAACACACCCTGGTGCGATACAAGAAATTGAGCGAACGGACGGACTCCAAAAGACGCTGGTCTTGATGTCCTGCGTCCGGAGCCCCCGGAGGAGCCCTTCACCGAGCGGACAGGCAGAGGAAAGGGATCGCCACGTCGCCGACCGCGATCGTCTCGACCGCGGCGAACAAAAGTCGGAGCTCGAGGCAACAGACCGGAAGCTCCCACCAGTAGAAGAGAACGGGCAGCGCTGACGACCAGGTACTCACCAGCGCCTCGCCCCTTGGGAGCCTCAGCCCCCGTTGTTCTGACCCGAGTCGGCGGCACCAGACTTGCCGCCGCCCTTGGGCCCCTTGGGGCCCTTGCCACGCCTCTTCTCGTCGGCCTGCCTCTTCTCGCGTAGCAGTCGGGACTCTTTGAGCGCGAAGGCACCCTGGTGCCGCTTCTCGGCGACCCACTTGGTGAACTTCGGAACGGCGACTCTCCCCCTGTCCTCGGTGGAGCCCGCCAGCATGTAGCCGAGCCCGCTGTAGTCTGGGCGCTGGCGCTCTTCTCCACGGCGAGCTCATGCTGGATGAGCCGCCTGACAAGCTGCTCACCCATGGCCGGTTTGCCAGGTTGATCTGACCGTACGTGAGTCCCAACCGCAGCGCCTCCAGGATGATACGGTGATCATGGGCGATGCCGCTGTTCGGCGAGACTCCCGCCGCCACGCACCAGTTCTGATGGCAGTGGTCTCGAGAATGCCATCCAGGTACTCCTTGGCAGCGCGGGGGTCATCGAAGGGGAAGTCGTCGAACTTGGTCTCCTCAAGCTCCCCGACGGCGTCCTTAGCCTGCAGGATACGCTTGTCCCCCGCGGTGCGGTAAGTGCCCAGCAACCGAAGACCTCCCCCTCCCCCGACTCTGCTCTTCCGCTCGACCAGGTCGTTGGAGTTGACCCTCGAAACATGAACCTCCGAGCTCGCGTCGTTCGCATCCAGCTGGACCACCCCCGTGGTCTCCCGCAGCAAGGCCCGCGCAGCGTCGTCCAAGATGCCTGGCTCCACCTGCTCACCGAAGCGAGGATGCGACGGGTCGCTGACGACCCAGATCTCGGCGGCATCCACCTCGATGTCTTCTCCTGCGATGTCGGCCAGCACCTTGGCTCGGGCGATGGCCTCGCTGAGCTCCCGCACCAGGATTGGATCGAATAGGAAGCAGTCCTGGCGACAGCGGTCTGGCATGGGCCGGCCTCTCGCCAGCGGCTCGAACCGAACCGTCGCCGTGTCCAAAATCTGCAACTCGTGCGCGGGCGTGAGGACGACCCCACGGCCAGCCGAGATACGAACCAACAAGATTATGTGATGCCACGTAAAGTTCGGGTAATCTGGATATCGAACCAAGTCTTGCCTCTCCTTGATATCAAGAGCGCTCATGATTTATCGGCGAGCCGCAACGATGATGGCGTGACTGGCCCGTTGCGCCCACGAAAGGCCTGCTCAGAAACCGACGACGAGGAGGAAGTTGACGAGACTCGACGACCAGCGCACCGCCCGATCAAGAGCCCCACGATGAAACTCAGCAGGCACATCAGCAGGCTCAGACTGAACACAAGGCTCACACACAGATGAATCGTAATGGTCGAACTCAGCTGCTTCTGCACCCCCTCGAGCTGGCGAGACAAGATCCGCTCGATGTGGTGGCACCCTCCAGCCTCCGAGGCAGTCTCACACTGAGAGGCCCCTTTCGAAATGACAGTGGCAAGTCGGCTCCCGCGTCGGGGCGTTGAGCGCAATCACGTCGCGCACAACCGAGTATAGGAAGTGCAACTTGTCTTGCGGAAGGGAGAACGCGCTGTCTCTCAAAGCGGCCTGGGCGGGCCTGCCCGAGCAGAAAAAGGGTGGCTGCGGACGCGACCTGTCGGGGGTCACGAGTGTCCGAAGGCCTCCCTTCCTGTGGAAAACGCGTACTAACTCATATATATATATATATACACACACTTGTTTGGCGGTGGCGACCTCGCGCGCAGCGTCGAGGCGGTGAAAGTTAAGTGTAACGGTCGGAGCCCCGCGAGCGTCAGTTTCAGAGGAAAACAGCGCTATATGCCAAACACACACATGCACATAGCGATTTGTCGCAGAAAGCAAAAAAAAACCTGCGCTGCTAACACCGTAAGGACATTCATGTAAATGGGTGGCTAACTTGTTGGGGTTGAGGTGCGTGATGTCTGCGCGCATGCAAGCAAACGAAACCAAACTGCATGCCCAACCCGCATGCGAAATCGTCCTGCGCAGCCTGGACATATTGGGTCCCGCTGCAGATAGGTGGGAGGCATACGGACCCGTTCATAGAAAGAAGTTAGATCCCCCTTCGGCTGCTGGCGCCTATCAAACCAACTGGTTGAAGGACACTACAGAATCTCCCTGGGGATCTCTACCTCTGGCGTTGGCCTGCCGCGGGCCGTCAGTGAACCCGAATCCACGTGCAATCTCTCGTTGATGGTGCGCCCCACGTGCAGATCATGGAGAGCCAAGGTCCATTCCGCGGCTCGAGGATCAAGCGTCCCAGGTCCACGCAGTGATGAGTCCCAGGACTGCTACTGTGGGACCTCCAAGACGTGTCAGTCGACGGGGTCGTGTCAGGTGGCGCGCGGGGAGGCGCGTCGGACAATGTGCCAGGGGACCTGCCCAGACACGTATCGAGGCACGTGTCCAGCGGCTTGTCTTGGAACATGACAAGGGACGTATGCGATTATAATCGCTGCATATCACTGCTGTAGCCGTGCTTGCACATGCGTATACAGAGTAGCATGCGATTTGACGCTCTGCTGACAATTCGGAACGAGGCGCCTTGGGACTCACGAAGAAGAGTCATCTCCCTCTCATCCTCACCAAGTGACGGCGACGAGGTGCCAGGCATGAGCAGGTTCTTATCGTGGCTATACCAGGCCCTCGAGAGGTCAAACCAGAAACGAGGCTGATAGCGGAGCGTTGAGGTCAGGTCACACTGTCTCTTCCATGTTCTTAACACGAGCAAGTGCCACCCGTCCCGGCGAGAGCTTGAAGAATCTCGGTCGGTACAAGAGGGGCTATCATGCTATGGAGGTGACGATTTTATATATATATAAATATATATATATATATAAATATATAATAATAATAATAATAAAAATAATAATAATAATAATGTATTGTTTTTTTTTATATAAAAAAAAAAAAAAAAAAAAAAAAAAAAAAAAAAAAAAAAAAAAAAAAAAAAAAAAAAAAAAAAAAAAAAAAAAAAAAAAAAAAACGATCGCGACTTGCGCGCGCGACGAGCACTTCCCGATCAGCCGTGGCGGAACGGAATGATCTGGCAGAGCTCGCCGAGGCCGGCGGGGCAGAGAGGCTGGTCGAGCTCCTGCGACGGGCAGGTTCCGCAAGGCGGCCTTCGGAGAGCTCCACGGATCCCTACGACACGCTCTGCAGGGAGACAGATGCTCGAGCGCCGAGGCGCGGAGCCTACAGGGCAGCTTTTAATACATAGGATTTTTAGAATATAGAGAGTTTGTTTGTACATGATGAGTTTATGAACAAATGTATGCATGAACTCATCGTTGTTTTTCATGCTAAATCCCTGCACTTTTGATACATGATCCGCACGCGGAGCATGTGTTAAAAACGGCACTGTACGGCGCCGTTCCACACGGCGAGGGAGGCAGCGAAGGCAAACCTCCAGAAGATTGACCACGCGGCGAAGAAAAGCGACGGCGACCTCGACTTCTGGGCTCTCGAGGATCCGGGCCTGGACCAGCACGAGAAGCACGCCATGCTGGCCAGGGCCGCCGAGACGCGGGCCCACGAGACGCTTGCGTTCGAGAGGACCGTCGCGGTGTGTCGCAGCTGCCGTCGAGGACGCGGGCATGGCAAGCCTCGTGAGCCGAGAGGAAGGGCCTCCTACGGAGGAGAGGACGGCACCTAGAGTGAGGAGGCTGCCAGCGTTTCGGGGGACGACGCCTACTGGCATGAGCGGAGTGACGACCAGGAGGCCTACGTCTGTTGCGCAACGGCGACCATTGACGACGCCGGCTACGGCGGCTCTCCCGGGGAGATCTTCACCATCGAGGACGAGGCTGACCAGTGAATTGCCAATCGAGGCCATGGGCACTATCCGGTGCTAGTGGCGATATGTGAATCAACAGAAAACATTCACAAGACGCGAGTGGCCCGCGGACCCATCAAGAGCAAAATCGACGACATGCTTGACCATACTGCGGCAGCCAGCGGTCAACCTGCTGCCAGGACAGCAGGCAAGGGCAAGTAGAAGAGCTCGAAGAACAAGCGGTGCAGAGATTCTGGACGTTTCGACTGCAATCCTAGGCTACAACGGAGGAAGAGCGACACCAGGCATATACCGGCCCAACGAAGGAAGCAACACAAAAGAACCGTCCTGGCAAGTGGCAGCTAGGCACGCTGGCCAGCACGAGCGGCTGGCTGCAGATCAAGAATGGCATTGCGGCCATACCACCCAAGGTGGACGTTAGCGAGATGCGCGAGACGATGATGGCAAACTTTGATCTGAAGGCTCGTGCGTCCCACGGGCCCGACGTGTGCCGGACATCACGGATCGCGGCGTCCTGTGGCCCCGACGGAGCTCGACGTCTAGGCACATGACAGCGGACGTCACAACGAATCACGAACATCGAGCTGCTGGAGATCGAGAGCATACCATCTTGGTCGGCGAATACGAGGTGCCCTGCTCTCCGAGGGACTCGGGAGCTGGCACAGGCGTGGCAGTCCTAAAATGGCTGACACAGGTCGAAGCGGAGCTCTAACGCTACGGCCTACACCCAGAGAGACTCCAAGCAGCCCAGAAGTTCAAGGGAATGGGCGACACCAAGAGGCACGCCAAGGAGCAGTGGTTCATCCCGATCGGAGTGCGCTGAAAAAAACTCAGAATCTGAAAGCGCTACGTCCAACGGGGTAAGATCATCGGACTCACTAGGCGTGACAGCAAGAAGGAATGGTAAACTATCAGATACATCGGACATGAATAACACTGGGCGAATTTCGACGACCCGGAGTCTACGGCAAGAAACTCATCAGGGCGCCTCGAGGACACGCCGGCCAGGACATACGACTACGATTATGACGAACGACCCCCCGTTCAAGTAGTTCAGGGTCGACGAGCTGGTCGCACCAGAAATCATGCTCGCTAACGTCCAGGATACCAGCGCTACGATAACAAAGAGACCAAACCGACCACCTTTGACACTCGAGTATCGGAGGCCGTTCGCGAAGGTCGTCGAGGCATCTTCAAGAAGACGAGCATCAAGCGAATCGAAAAGCTGGTCTAGTAGTACACCGTGATATTCGACATGCTACGCATCCACGCATCGACCTTTACGTTGGAGCTGCATGGTTACACGGCTTACTTGATGCAGATCAGCACAGCTGTTGGGCATCGCGATGCGGCACAATCAGATTTCAACAAGGGCGTCAACTTCAATGACACTCACGTACCAGACGAATGGCCAATGCTGAGAGGTACTACAAGCCATGGGCGGTGACCTGCTCGTTTCCTTGGAAGCCGCACTCAGTTGGGGGCAGGGCTGAACTATCCGACCAGGTCGACGAGATGCTCCTAGAGGTGAAGTCACACCTGACGTTAACGAGACGCGTGCTGAAGCTCAGGCTGCTGGCAACCGATTGGGGCAGAGGACCCGTTGACCAGCAAGGCGTGCAGCGACGACGAAATCCGCTCGCTGTACGTGTGGCGCCTTCAAGCCATCTGCGGCCCCAGTGGGACCCTCCTGGAGCCCTCCCCACCACTGCAGAAACGCGTTTGGGCGCCCGCTGCAGTCGCCCGAGGGAGTGGGGGAGGGGGGGGGGACAAGTTTATATATATATATATATATATATATTATTTTTTTTTGGAGGGGGGGGGACAAGGGTGCCGCCCCTGGGCCCAGGGACGCGGTCGCAGGATACCTCAAACATCTCTCGGGCCAGACCGAGGCTGGGGGGGCGCTCCATCCGCCACCGTGCCTCTGGCACGAAGCGGAGCGCCCCAAGGCTCGTGCGACGCTGAGGCAGAGGCTGTGCTCCTGCTGCTGCTGCCAGGATTGTAAATCTGTAAGGGCCCCCACCAGCCGTTTCCCAGGCCGCCCCCGGGGTGTCCCGGGCGTTCCCCGGCTGCCTCCCGTGAGTTCTGGGGTGTGTCCTGCAAGTCCTCTGGACGCTGTGCCCGCCCGAAACGGTCCAAGAGATCCCCGACTTGCCGAAACATGGCTCGAATACGTAGGCTCGAGACGGCCCAGGCGCCTCCAGGACGGCCCCAGAGGCCTCCAACAGCACCCCCACGAGGGCCCCAAAAGGCAAAAATCATGGATGTCCCTTCGGTTTTGTAAAGATTTCAGCGTTCGCGCCTATCGGTTTCCCGACGCTCCAAGGCGGGAGGCCCCAAGGATCGCCCCAAGACGGCCCCAGAGGCTCCTAACGGGCCCCAAGACGGCCCAAGAGGGCCCCAAGACGCGCCAAAAGGTGCCCGAGACGGTCCAAGAGGGCCCAAAACGGCCCCGATAAGGGGGTCCAGGTGGGAAATCCGAACAGAAATTTCGAGCCCTCGGCCCCGAGGGGACCCCAAGAGGCCCCAAGAGGCCACCAAAAGGCGCCCAAGAGGCCCCCGAGAAGCCCCCAAGAGGCCCTAAGAGCCCCCCAAGAGGCTCCCAAGAGGCTCCCAAGACGCCCACGAGCTGCTCCCAAGAAGCCTCCGACAGCGCTTAAAAGGGACGCGAGGAAGCATCTCTGAGAACTCTGATCCACAACCCAGGCACAGTGGCAGGATGGGCCGAAGGCCATTAGACCTGCTTGGCACGGGGACGGAAAGCGCACTTACTTTCAGAGCGCACGAGATCGCTGGATCGTCCGTTCTTACACCTCTGATTGACTCCCTTCCCCTCGCTCTTGTCCTATCTCAGCCTCGGAGAGCCGCGGAGCTTTCTTTGAGCGCGTTTCTTGTTTTGGAGGGGGCGGTCGGGTCGCGTTGCGTTTTCCGCGTTTGGGCTGCCAGCTTTCCAGAACCCCGTGTTTTCCTTGCGTGTACCGCTCGTTGTCCACGCTTTGCCGCCCGTCCCTGTGCCCTGGCGTCAAGAACTTATTACGCCGCAGCTCTCTGTTGGGAGCTTTGGTCTTATCAGCTCGATTACGTCACCGCTCGCTCTTGGGAGCCGCGGTGCTAAGAGCCTTTGGGAGTATTTTGGGCCTCTTGGGGGGCTCTTGGGGAGCCTTTTGGGTGCCTCCTGGGGACCTTTTGGGGCTTTTCGGGGGCCTCTTGGGGCCTCCTGGGAGCTTCTGGGCTGCGGGGGTGAAGGGATAGGCTGCGTTTGGCCGTCTTTGGGCTCTCTTGGGGGCCTCTTGGGGCCTTCTTGGGGCCGTCCTGGGGCCGTCTTGGGCCGTCTTGGCGCCTCTTGGCGCCCTCTTGGGCCGTTTTGGGGCCCTCTTGGGGGCCTCTTGGGCCTTCTTGGGGCGCTCTTAGGGGCCTCTTGGACAGTCTTGGGCGCCTCTTGGCCCGTCTTGGCGCCCTCTTGGGCTATTTTGGGGGCCTCTTGGAAACATCTTGGGCCGTCTTGGGGCGGTCTTGGGGGCCTCTTGGACCGTCTTCAACGCCATGAAAGGCGAAAAGCCGTATATGCTAAAAATGCACGTTTTCCTTAAGAAAATCAATGATTTTGGCCTCTTGGGGCCCTCTTGGGACGCCTCGTGGGCGCCTCCTGGGGCGTCGTGGAGGCCTCTTGGGACGTCTTGGGGCCGCCTTGGGCGGTCTTGGGCTCTCTTGGAGCACTCTTGGGCCGTCTTGGGCGCTTCTTGGGCCGTCTTGGGCCGTCTTGGGCGCCGTCTTGGCCGCTTCTTGGGCTGTCTTAGGCGCCTAAGACGGCCCAAGAAGCGCCCAAGAAGCGTTTTCCGATGATGTCTCGAGCGAAACGCTGTTTTTAAGCCCCGGAGGCCGTCCTACTCGATAGAAAACGAAGCGGGAGGGCAATTAGATCCGGGTCTGGCGATGCCACCCCCCTTGAACTCCCCCAAGTCCAATTTCTTCAGACTAACGGACCGCACGCTAACGCGCGCTTTCCGTCATCCGCCGCCCCCTGTCGATCCATCGCAGGGGTGCCTGGCGTGCTAAATCCTTTCGGTTTGGGTTTTGGTGAGTTTTCCCAAAGAATTTCCCAAAGAACTCTTCCAGTGGGTTTCGGCCCGTCCCGCCACCGTGCCGTTCGCTCGGGACATCCTCAAAAAATCGGCCAGGACCCCAACGTGCACAAAAAATCTTCCCTGAAACGGCCGTTTCGCTAGGGACATCCTCAAAAAAACGCGAAGATGGCCGAAGATGGCACAAAAATCCTCCCAAAAACGGCCGTTTCGCTCGGGACATCCTCAAAAAATCGCGAAGATGGCCCAAGATGGCCTCCAAGTCCGCCCAAGATGGTCCTAGACGGCCTCCAAGACGGCCCAAGAGAGTCCAAGACGGCCCAAGAGAGTCCAAGAGGCCCCCCAGAGGCCTCCAATACAGCCCAAGAGGCCTGCAAGAGGTCCTCCAGGAGGACCCGAAGAGGCCAAAATCATTGATTTTCATTGGGATTTTGAAGGATTTTGAAATTTGCTTCTTCTCGGCCTTCCGACGGCTCAAGACGGCCCAAATGCCCCCAAAGATCGCCCAAGAGGCCCAAGACACGGCCCCAAGAGGCCCCCAAGACGGCCCAAGAGGTCTCCAAGACGCTCAAGATGGCCTCCAAGACGGTCCAAGAGCCATCCAAGACGTCCTCCAAGAAGGCCAGAAAGAGTCAAATGGCCTCCAGACGGCCAAGATGACCTTCAAGATGCCCACGTGTTCCCCGAAGGCTTTCCAAACCGATTCGGGGAACAAATGGTCCGATAGCTTGGCAGGTCTGGCCTCAACGTTCGGCCACATAGGCGCTTCCACAAAGGTAGGGGGCGGCGGTGGTTCGCCGTAGGCGTCTTCGATCCGCCGCCCCCTGTCGATTCATCGCAGGGGTGCCTGGCGTGCCAGATCCTCTCGGTTTTGGTTTTGGTTCTTTTTCCAAAAGAACTCTCCCCTGGGGCTTCGGCCCGTCCCGCCGGGGTCCCGGGAGGCTCTTCCAGGAGCGCAAACTCCACGAAAAATCCTGAAACGGCCGTTTCGCTCGGGACATCCTCAAAAAATCGCGAAGATGGCCCAAGATGGCCTCCAAGTCCGCCCAAGATGGTCCAAGACGGCCGCCAAGACGGCCCAAGAGAGTCCAAGACGGCCCAAGACGCCCCCCAGAGGCCTCCCAGACGGCCCAAGAGGCCTCCAAGAGGTCCTCCAGGAGGGCCCGAAGAGGACGAAATCATTGATTTGTCTTCGGTGTTTGAAGGATCTGGGAATTTGCTTCTTCTCGGCATTCCGACTGCCCAAGACGGCCCAAGAGGCACCCAAGACAGCCCCAAGAGGCCCCCAAGACGGCCCAAGAGGTCTCCAAGACGCTCAAGATGGCCTCCAAGACGGTCCAAGAGCCCTCCAAGACGTCCTGCAAGAAGGCCCGAAAGGGTCAAAATGGCCTCCAGACGGCCAAGATGACCTTCAAGATGCCCACGTGTTCCCCGAAGGCTTTCCAAACCGATTCGGGGAACACATGGTCCGATAGCTTGGCAGGTCTGGCCTCAACGTTCGGCCACATAGGCGCTTCCAAAAAGGCAGGGGGCGGCGGTGATTCGCCGTAGGCGTCTTCGATAGTGATCCTTCGCCCCCTGTTGATTCATCACAGGGGCGCCTGGCGTGCTGAATCCGTTCGCTTTTGGTTTTGATCCTTTTCCCAGAAGAACTTTCCCTGGGGCTTCGGCCCGTCCCGCCGGCCACCCACAAGAGACCTCAACGACCGCAAAAAATCATCCAAGACGACTCCAGATGGCCTCGTAGATGACCACGTTGGCCCGAGATGGCCTCCAAGATGGCCCAAGATGGCGTCCAAGTCGCCAAAGATGGTCCAAGATGGCCTCCAAGACGGCCCGAGAGAGTCCACGATGCCTTCAAGTTCGTCCAAGAAGCCTCCAAGATGGCCCAAGATGGCTCCGAGATGGCGTACGACTGAGGCGCTCCCCAAGAGGCCTCCAAGACGTCCTCCAGGAAGGCCGAAAAGGCAAAAAACATTGATTTGCCTTTGGTCGTTGAAGGATTGTGGCATGTTCTTCTTATCAGCTCTCCGACGGCCCAAGACGGCCCAAGAGGCCCCAAACATCGTCCCAAGAGCGCCCAAGAGGCATCCAAGATGAACCCATGACAGCCCAAGAGGGGCCCAAGAAGAGCCCAAGACGGCCCAAGATGGCCCCGAAGACGCCGAAGATGGCCTCCAATACGGCCAAGATGGCCTCCAAGATGCCTCTAAGACGACCAAGAAGGCCTCCAGACGGCCAAGAGGACCTGCAAAATGCATCCAAGACGGCCAAGATGGCCTTCAAGACGGCCAAGAAGGCCTCCAAGACGGCGAAGATGGCCCCAAGATGCACCCAAAACGGCCACAAATTCTCAAGATAGCCTTAGACTGCCCAAAAGGCCTGCCAGAGTCCTCCAAGACGACCCAAGAGCCCTCCAAGACGTCCTCCAGGAAACCCGAAAGCTTGGAAACCACCTGGTCCGATAGCTCGCCCGACTCCGTGTTCCCCGAAAGCTTTCGAAACCCACTCGGGGAACGCGGGGCGGCGGCGATTCGCCGTAGGCGTCTTCGATGTCTTGGCGACATGAAACACTGCCGATTGGGCGAATCACGGGGACCCCCTGCTTGTGGTTTGCTCTGGCCTTCTCCAGGTCGACCCGAACTGGAGCGAACACCGTGCTTGCACCCATCCAAGTCTTGAGGTACCCCCCCCCAAGACACTGAGGCGAAGGACGCAGCTCTCCCCCACCCGAACAAGACACTAGCCTCTCGCCCTGGGGCGCTCGGGGTGCCCACCGAACAGGCAGCGAGCCCGGCCCCACGGTCCAGCTGTACTTGCCGCTCTGAATCGGCATGGCGCGCGCACGGCGTGGGCAGCCCAGGCGCGGACGCACTGCCAAGCGCCCCCTGCACCCCCCCCCCTAAGCTTCCGGCGGCCACGGGCACAGCCTCGAGCTCCGCCTTTCCGTGGGGCTGCCTGGACACTGCCGGCCGATCCCGCTGCAGTGTCCTCTGTACGGATTCGACCGTCGGACTGGACGGGCCTCGCAGCATACGAGTCACTCGCAAGCAACGGTCCACGCAGCCCGGGTCGCCAGACATTTGATGCTGCGCCGGGTCTCGCCGCTCGTGGCAGACGGGAGCAGATCCCGGGTCCCCACGCCACCGGCAGCTCGGCTGCAAGCACTCCTGGCATCCATGTGCACACCTTGCCCGTCAAGCCAGACCACGAAACTGTAGAAAGCAAGAGCGCTCCGAACTGCAACCTGAGGCCTGAAACATCGACAGACTTTCGATGGATCACACCCTGATCAAACTCCTCAAACAACCGAACGCCATTGTGTACGGTCCAGCGCCGTGAACGGGTGTCACGCTAGGCGGTACAAAACTGATCCAGCATGTGGAGGGACGATGCCCTGCCCTGCTTTGTCCTGTCCTGCACTGCCACCTGTAATGCCCTGGCCCGCCTTGCCTTGTCCCCCTTTGCTCTGCCCTATCATGCGAAGCCCTGCCCTGCCTTTGCCTGTCCACGCTGCGCTGCTCTGCGTTGGTGAAGCCTACACTCCCGTATTCTGCCCTGATCTCCATCGCAACGCCCTGCCAGGCCGAACCCTCCCCAGCCCCGCTACCACATCATCCCCAGTGGCATGCCAAACCCTGGACAAGACTGCCCTGCTGTTCCCTTTATACTGCCGTGCTTCACCGTAAAAAAAAAACGCAATACCTGTAAGATGCGTATATGGAGGCGAACAACATGTAGCAACAATGCATGTGCAATACCGCGAGAAACGTAGTGCATGCGAGCACGCTGTTGAACACCCAAATTTTCACGCGGGGATCCCGATATGCGCATATCATGTTGTGGGACTTCCCTCTGTGAATACGTGGGCGTGGCATCTGTGCACGAGTCCGACTGAACATTGCAAGACCGAGTTCGAGAGTTCCTCTCTGCTTGTCTCTGCCGCCCTATGTTCCCCTCTGGCGATTACCCTTTGGTGTGCCCAAGTGTTGAGCCTGCGACATCGCTGTCATCATGGGTTTCTGAAAACAGAGGTGTTGGGGGTGCCTAAACCAGAGTTTCGACCGAAACATCCACACAACCTGGCAGCCAACTGGCAAGTGCAGCATCCCCTAGCGACTTTCCCAGTGGGGCGTTGAATTGCTACGCGTCCTACAGTAAGAGCTCGACCACAAGAAACCTTCCACAAGAAACCAAGCCCTGAGACCCCAGGACGTCCATTGATTTTTGGTGTGGGAACGTCACGCTTTCCATAGCAAAACCATCGAAAAACAAGAAACCCACTGCAGCCTGGAGGCCAGCGGGATATTGTGTGGCATGGGTTTCCACTGTAAATCACGGTCATCATGCGTTTGTGAAAAGAGAGGAGCTGGAGATGCAAAACGAGAGCCTCGCGCATCACATCCCTACAAACTGTGCGCGAACGGGCCAGTGTCACATCACCTGGCGGATCTCACCTGCGATGTTCAACTGCTGCGCCTCCTACATCGCGTTGATCACGTGGCTGGAGAGAGAGGACTCGGGAGCGCCAAAAGACCACCTCGATCCAGGCATCCCTAAAAAACGGTTCGCGAGCGGGAAAATCTGACACACCTTGGCGGTCCAAGCGTGCTACATCGCGCCAATGGAAACATGGGAGTCGAAGGGACAAAAAGTCCGCCCCGCTTCAAACATCCCCACAATCTGGGCGCGAACGGGAAAATCCAATACCCGTAAGGGCCCACGAAGGGGCACCCGAATGATATCCCCGCCGACGCCGCGATCATGGGCGAGTCTGAACGGGAGGACCGAATCAGAGCGGGTCTGAGTGAGTGACAAAGAACGGGTCTCAACATGAATGCACATGAGTGCAAATAAGTCTGAAAGTGAGTGTGAGTAAGTCTGAATGAATATAAGTGCGGGTAAGTCTGAAAATGAATCTGAACATGAACGAATATTAGATATGAGTGTCACTGGTCCGACTGTGCGCGGCTTTGGCAGACGAGTCCCAGCCTCACTAAGCTGAGTATGGATGCGTCTGCGTATTGGGGTACGAATACGTTGCCATTTTGGCTCGAGTCGCTCTGGTTCGATGGGAGCCGCAGCGGCTCGCGCCGACGGGCTGGCGGTCGCCTGACCGCCGGCTTGCCTGGGGTGGGGCTGCGAAGGAATTTCTCACCGTCACGCCCCCCCCCGCGCCCTTGGATTCCTGCTCCGCTCTTCGCCGCCGCCAGCGGCGCGCGGCCGCCGGCCGGGCCTCCGACGCGGCTGCTGGAGCCGTGCCGCCTGGCCTCGAGGCCAGCCGCCGTGCCGCCTTCGCCTCGCGTCCGGCCGCCGGCCCGCCGCCGCCGCCGCCACGTGGGCTGGCGGCAGCGCCCGCCAGCCGCCTGCCATCGCGATTGCCGCTGGCCCTGCAGGCGGGCGGGCCGCTGGCTGCCCGGCCGCGGCCGCTGCAGCGCGCGGCGCGGCCCTCGCTGCGTCGGGGATGGGATCTGCTACCATGGGTCAATCAGACCAGGGTCAGCAGGCGACCACAAAATTGAATGCAGGACAAAACAACTGCAACGCAGGGTTTCGCAAACCCGGGTCGGCCAATATGCGCGGCCGCCTCGCGGCCACGAGCGGCTCGCTAACCCGGTTCAGCCAGAGGGAGGGCGTCTTCGCAGGATCCTGCAGGATCCGGCGCCCTGGCTGACTCCCGTTCGCATTGACCCCCGTCTCTGGAGCTCCGACTGCGGAGGCCGCGGCGGCCGCCGGCCGTCGCTGCCGGGGCCAGGCCGCTGCGATGGCGGCTCGCGCGGCTGGCGCGCCCCAAGCGGCCGCCGCTGGGCGGGAAGGGTTTGGCGAGCCCCTGGAGGCGGAGGCGTCTATGCCCAGGCTCGCTGCTCAGACGGCCTGCGCCGCTGACACCTCGCCCCGCGCCCCAGCGGCCACGGACGGCGGCGGCTGACACCGCTGCCGCGGCTGGCACCCCTGCTGCGGCCAGTGCCGCTACCGCGGCCGGGCTTGCCGCTCTGTCGGCAAGCGCCGGGGCCGCTTCGGCATTGCCGCGCGCGGCAGCTGGCGCGGCTGGCGCCGCTGCCGCGGCTGCTGGCGCCGCGCCGCCTGGCCTCTCGGCCAGCCGTCCTGCCGCCGCCGGCACCACCAGCTCTGCCGCGCCGTCTTCCGGCTTGGCGCCGCCTCCGGCTGGCCTTCGCTGGCAGGCCGTTGGGGCTGGCGGCCGGTCCGCGGCAGTGGCCCCTGCCGCGGCTGCCGAGGCGGTCACGCACGGCGGCCTGCGCTGGCGCCACCTCCGCCGCCGCAGCGGCCGTGACTCTTGTCGCCAGCTGCTGCTGCGGCGGCTACCGCTGGCGCTGCCACGGCTGCCGCGGACGCTTCCGCGGCGGCCGACGCTGCCGCCGCGCCCACCAGGGGCGCTGGCGCTGCAGCCATCGACGAGCTGGCCGAGCCGCCGCGGGGGCCCAGCGATCCCGCCGCTGCTTCTGGCATCTGGGACCCCCTTGGCCAGACCGACGGAAAGCGCGGCCGCTCGAACGCGCTGGCCCCCTCAGGGTCGACATCTCCTGAAGTCTCTTCTCGGGAGGAGTTTGCGGAATGTCGGGGGCGGGGCGGCCACGGAGGAGTACGACGATGGCGACGGGAAGACAATGACGGCGCCAGCATCAACGGCGTCGACGAGGAAGCGGGCGACGGCGACGCGACGGAGGACGGGGAAGAGGGCACTCAGGAAGCAGAGGTCGAGGACTGCAGCTCGGCGTTCGTCGAAGAGGATCTGACCGGCTTCTCGGACCCTACTGGCATCGCGCTGCATGGCAGCACGGAGAGCCCCAAACATATCCAGCCCGATGGTACCACACTGGATGGCAGCACGCTGGAAGGCGTCACGCTGGACGGCAGCACAACGAATAGCAACGCACCGATCTGCGCCTCCGATCCGACCACGGCCCCCACACATCTGGTCGAAGACGCGGTGCAGAGCATCATACAAAAAAAGCGTCATCGACGGAAGTGTCGCGATGATGGAAGAGATCGCAGAGTCGGAGGGCGGTGGCGCGCGCGTCGACCTACACACTAATTTCAATCCAGTTCTAGATCTGGGTATTATCAAGGATCCCAACCATTCGGGGCGCTGGGAGGCCCTGCGGGATCCTGCTAGACAGACCCTACACCCACTGCCTCCGTCTGAATCATCTGCGATGGACGCTGGCCACGCTGCCGCTGATCCAGGCCTCGCCACCACCAACCTAGAAACAACAGACTGCGTCCCCTCCGATCATTCAAGCTACCCCGCCTCCAAATTCAATGATGACGCTGACAGAAGCAACGATGAGCACTGCGCCGGGGCAGAGACGCAAGAATCAAAAGAAGTCGCGGATCCCGAAGCAGCCCCTTCCGATCTATGCGAATATCCGACGATCTGCGTGAGAGCGGAGGGGGGTACGCACGTCATCGACGACGAGACCGAAGGAATGAGCACTTTGATTCGGGGGGATAGTCCGGAGCACGACGAACAAGACGAGCTCGCCAAGCGCCGACTGGTCGCGCAGGGCCATTTCGCGCCCCCCCGGCCGCTGGCACCAGATCAAGCCAGCGCAGAGGACGACAGCTCGCGCAATGCTGGGGCATGACCTGCGCGCTGCCCTGGCAGTCGGCCCCAATGGGCGGACCACGCGGACGCGGCCGACCACCTGGTAGGCAATGCGTCTCCCAGGGACACAACACCAGGCGGCAGAGATGGGCACCCGACCGCCAGCTGCCGTCGCGAGCTCGGAAGGCGGGCGCAAGTCCCCCGAGCTCGACAGACCGTGCCAACAGGCTTCGTCCACCTGACCACCCTTCTGGGATGGTTCGCGGGGTCCTCTCCCTCCCGCTGACGGGAGGTGGCCCGCTTCCAGCGGGCCCGGGCGCGCGCGGCCACCCGGCGCGCTCGGACAGCACAGCTGCGAGCGACGCTGGCGCGCGAGCGGAAGTCCAACGGCCTCGCACGCCGGCTATCTCGTGGACTGCGTCGCGGACAGCAGACTGGCTGCCGTCGCTGCGGGCGGCAGAGGCAGCGGAGCACGACGAACGCGCGCCTCCCGCCGATCCCCCACCGATCGTGACCCGTGCGCCCGCCGCGGAAGTGCCGTCTGGGGACAGACCTTGCATCGCCCCGCTAGTGAAAGGTGACCTCTGGCGGATGGTCAAGGAGGCGTGGGCTCAATCCCCGTGGACACGTGAACACTGGGATCACGTCGCCTGGGATTGCAGAACCCAAGGGAAGGGGCGAGCTCGCCCAGAAATGGTCCCCAGACAAATCGTGATCGACTTCCTGCACTCCCGACCAACGCACGGGCGGCAACCAGCTGGCACGCGCGCACCGTCAGTCTCGGCTGGCCCGACTGTCCAGCACAAAGCAATCGACGACTCCGACTTGGCCTGACACCCACCAACCATGACCCACGCGCCCGCCGCGGGGGCACCGTCTGGTGACAGACATTGCATCGCCTGACTAGGGCAAGGTGGCCTCTGGCGGATGGTCAACGAGGCGTGGGCTGACTCCCCGTGGCCACGAAAACACTGGGATCACTTCGCCTGGAATTGCAGAACCCAAGGGAAGGGGCGAGCTCGCCCAGAACTGGCCCCCAGACAAATCGTGATCGACTTCCTGCACTCCCTACCAGCACGCGAGCGGCAACAGGCTGGCACGCGCGCCCCGCGAGTGTCGGCTGGCCCGACTGGCCAGCGCAAATCAATCGACGACTCCGACTCGGCCACACACCCGGCTGGACTAAAGGGCGCCTCCGAGAAGCAGCTCGTGGCCCGGATCAAACGGCTGGGGGGCCAGAGCAAGAAGGTCTGGAGAGCTGCGGTGGCATGGCGCGGGCTCCCTGGACGACTCCCTCGCCGACTGCGAGTACGTAGGGCATTGCGATGCAGTCACCTGCTTTGGCCGGTCATGCACCCCATGCACCCGACACCCATCGATCTGTCGCCGTTTTTGCCATGTCGCACACCGATCAGTCGCACTGATCGCATACCGATCTGTCGCCTGAGGGGCACCGCCCCTCCCCGCTCTGCCAGGGCATTGTGTCCTCCTCCTCTTCTTCCTCCTCTTCCTCCTCCTCCTCCTCCTCGTCGTCCTCCTCCTCCTCCTCCTCCTCCTCCTCCTCCTCCTCCTCCTCCTCCTCCTCCTCCTCCTCCTCCTCCTCCTCCTCTCCTCCTCCTCCTCCTCCTCCTCCTCCTCCTCCTCCTCTTCCTCCTCCTCCTCCTCCTCCTCCTCCTCCTCCTCCTCCTCCTCCTCCTCCTCCTCCTCCTCCTCCTCCTCCTCCTCCTCCTCCTCCTCCTCCTCCTCCTCCTCCTCCTCCTCCTCCTCCTCCTCCTCCTCCTCCTCCTCCTCCTCCTCCTCCTCCTCCTCCTCCTCCTCCTCCTCCTCTCCTCCTCAAGCGTTGCAAAGCAAGCGTTTCGCCCGAGACATCCTCAGAAACTCGGCACGCAGGGTGCGCCATCCTCGAGCGAGCACGCAAAAAGCAAACCTCCCTTCTGCAAAACATGCGCGGAGCTCGAGACATCCTCGAAATTCATGCGCGCGGGACGCGCCATCCTCGAGCGGGCACGCAAAAAAAACACTGTTCCATGCTTCCTGTGTATGCTTAAACTTAGGGTCTCCACACCTTGGGTTTGATCGTGGATTCTGCGCAAAACGCTCCGCACGTTTCTTTTACAACGGAAACGTGTGTCTGCGGACCCGAACAATTTGCTCTTCGGCAGCCCCGACTTGCTTGACCGCTGGTGCAGTTTAACTCGACCTCGCCGCCGACGAGAAAAGTGCCTACGGACCCTGTTATTCCCCATATCCTAAGATGGGGTTCTTGTTATTACTTGGACGCCTCCTACTACTTCTTCTTACTCTTATTATCCTCCTCCTCCTCCTCATACCCAGACTTACTCATACACAGACTTACTCATACACAGATTTATTCATACTCAGACCTACTCATACTCAGACCTACTCATACTCAGACCTACTCATACTCAGACCTACTCATACTCAGACTTACTCATGCTGAGGCTCACTCATACCAAGACTTACTCATACTCAGGCCTTCTGACTTACTCTACACACAGCAGATTGTGAGGATGTCTCAGGCTGGGCGCTGGTTTCAGCACCCCTAAGGAGAGCCGCCGAGGCGGTCCCGTTCGCGGCCGTTTTGTGGGGATGTCTCAAGCGGTTAGCCTGTTTTCTGTCCCAACATCCTTCGCTGTCGGAGCAGATTTGGAGGATGTCTCGAGCGAGGCGCTCATTTTCACGCCCCTAAGGGGAGCCGCCGAGGGGCATGACACGATCCCGTTCGCGGCCGTTTTGTGGGGATGTCTCAAGCGGTTTGCCTGTGTTCTGTCCCAACATCCTTCGCGTTCGGAGCAGATTTGGAGGATGTATCGAGCGAGGCGCTCATTTTCACGCCCCTAAGGGGGGCTGCCGGGTATGACACGGTCCCGCTCGCGGCCGTTTTGTGGGGATGTCTCAAGCGGTTTGCCTGTTTTCTGTCCCAACATCCTTCGCTTTCGGAGCAGATTTGGAGGATGCATCGAGCGAGGCGCTCATTTTCACGCCCCTAAGGGGGGCTGCCGAGGGGTATGACACGGTCCCGTTCGCGGCCGTTTTGTGGGGATGTCTCAAGCGGTTTGCCTGGTTTCTGTCCCAACATCCTTCGCTTTCGGAGCAGATTTGGAGGATGTCTCGAGCGAGGCGCTCATGTTCACCCCCCAGGTGGGCCAGATTTTGAGGATGTCTCGTTCGGCTTGCCAGTTTGGGTGGCCAGACTCGTGGGCACAGGCTCTCCTCAGGATGCCACAGGATGCTCCAACAGGCTCCAGGAGGCCCCTAGGGACCACATGAGGTCCCAGGAGGCATCAGGAGGCCACCGAAAGACTCAAGAGGCCACAAGATGTCCCAAGAGGCTCCAGGAGGCCCCAGGAAGCTCCAGGAGGCCTCAGGAAGCCACAGGAGGCCCCAGGAGGCCACAGGAAGCGCCAGGAGACTTCGGAAGGCAACAGGAGGCCCCGAGAGGCCCCAGGAGCAGGAGGCCTCAGAAGGCAACAGGAGTGGCTCCAATCCCATGTGTTTTACGTATGCTCCTATAGATTGGGCCTCACCTGGAGCACGAATCCTTGACGTAACAAGTTATACGTATGTTTCTATAGATTGTCCTTCTCCTGTGAACACAGTCCTATGTGTTTACTCATGTTCCTATATGTTGGGCCTCTCCTGGGGCACGAGTCCTTGGTGCTTTACGTGTGTTCCTATAGATTGCCCTTCTCCTGTGGCTCCAATCCGCAATGTTTTATGTACGTCGGTTGCTATATATTGGGCCTCTCCTGGGGCACGAAGCCTCCCTGGGAGGTCCCAGGAGGCCCCAGGAGGCCCCAAGAGGCTCCTGGAGGCCCCAGGAAGCCCCAGTAGGTTTCAGGAGGCCCCAGGAGGCCCCAGGCTCATGCGCAGAGACGCGCTCGTACTACTGAGGCTCATTCACACTCCAATTCATTCGCAGTTAGATTCATGACCAGACCGCCACAACTGAAGCCCTTTTATATTCGAAAGCTCTTGCGTCTAGACATTCACGACGGACAGCTCCATGCGAATAGATGCACATATGGGGAGCTCCACGCAGTGAATAATGTATAGAGGATCCGAGATCGCGGGCATAGTTTCTTCGAGCAGGCACGCGCGAAACGCATTTTTTAAATAAAACACGGCTGCATCTCGCTATTCATCGAAAATTCAAGAGCCGTGAGCGGGGTGGTTACCAGGTGACGACTGCGGCGGATCAGTCGACTGGATCGACGACTCCCCTCCATCCCTCTGGCGCCTGGGTCTCACTCCTGTTTTCGGCGGGACAAGGCTGGCCTCGGGGCAGCGTCCAGCCGAACAATCCCGCGCTCTACTACAGTTACCACTCCCTGACTGAAGCTTGGAGGGGGAGAAAGCACAAGACCACGCCGGGCTATCCGCCTGCGTGGCAGTGCGGACACCGCGACTCTCACACAGACCAAGGGACGGGCCGACAAAGAAAAGCGGGCCAGGCAACGGACAAAAACGGACAGGAGAGCGAGGAGCCGAGGAGCGAGAAAGGGGAGGGGGGAGAGGCAAGGAGGACGACAGGAAGGAGACGGACCCGGCCGACAGCTGGAGGGACGGGGGGACGGAGAGGGGAAACCAAGCAGGGCGGGAGAGGGAGGGAGAACGCGCCACGGCCGGGCGTCGCAGAAGGGCGCGCCGTCGGCCATCGGCTGCTGTCGCGTGGGGCCGCCGCCGCGACGCGCCGAGCAGAGCGTCCTCGCCGTGGCGGAGGCAAGGGAGGGAGGCGGGCCGAGAGGTGCGCCCGAGCGACGCCCTTCGTCGGGGCGCTTCCCGCTCGGCGGGCGGGGAAGAGCACGCTGCGCAGGCAGGCGGAGGAGGAGGGGGGAGAGGAGGAGGAGGAGGATCGGCCCGCGAGCCCGGAAAGGAACGTGATAGTGTGAGGCATGGCAGCGTTTCGAGGACACCTGCTCGGGCGACGTGCCAGGCTGCAGTGCTGAGTGTATCGATCTCGACGTACCGTGCCGAGGGCTGCTCTGTGCGGCGCCGTGCTGAAGTGCGATGCGCCATGCCGCGATTGTGCTCTATAGCGTTGTGGATCGAGTCCACCTTTGCGTCCGAGTCCTGACCGAACTGATCTGGATCTTATGCTCGAGCTGCCTGAGCAGATAGTAGCTGCCCCAGAGCTAATTGACAGGGGGACATGCCAGGAGGACGCTCCGCGGAACGTCCCACGGGACGCGCCAGGCGACGTGCCAGGGGACGTGCCATGGGGACGCACCGCGGGACGTGCCCAGGGGACGCGCTACGGAACGTGCTGGGGACAAGTGTTTCGCTCGAGGCATCCTGCCCAAATCCTCGAGCTAGACGGCGGCCTGGGTGACCCGGACACGTGAAAACGAGCGTTTCGCTCAACACATCCTCATGCTAGACATCTGCCTGGGCGAACTGGCCACGTGAAAATAAGTGGTTCGCTCGAGGCATCCTCAACACATCTTCATGTTAGACGTCCGCCTGTGTGACCTGGGCACATGAAAACAAGTGTTTCGCTCGAGACGTTCTCAACACCTCCTCATGCTAGACATCCGCCTGGGCGACCTGGACACGTGAAAGCAAACGTCTCGCTCGAAAAATCCTCAAGATCTGGGCACGTGAAATCAAACATTTCAGACATCCTCTGAATTCTGGTCCCCAGGAAAGAACAATCTACAACACAAAACAAGCGTTTTGCTGGAGACATTCTCAACAAAGTCTGAAAAACAAGCGTTTTGCTAGGGACATCCTCAATATCTTAATTCGCTGGCCCACCCCTTCCTCGTGATTTATCGCAAAAGAAATTCGCTGCCCCACCTCAAGTCGATTCCGGGGGGTAAACCTATTGAAAGAAAACCCTGAGCTGGAGCCCTTTCCTGGAAAATGCTGGCTTCCATCTTGACGGGGGGGAGAGATGCTCTGGAATGGGCAATGTTGGATGGCACCGCAGCACAGGCGAATGCCATTGTGAGACATGTTGGGAGAATCGCACCACAGGCGAATGCCGTGGCTGATTAATGTTCAATGATATAACTGGCGTGTCAGCGTGGGCCGAAGCCATTGAGTCAGCTGTGAGGCCTGGATGCTGCTCAGGCTGTACACCACCTGTCTGGCCCCGCCGCCCGCGCCAGAAGCCAGGGGAGGGAGGAGGGGGAGAATTGAGGGGGAAAAGGGGGGGAAAGAGAAAGAGAACGGGGTGAAGAAGCTAGACCTCAGCTTACCAGTACAGATGGCACTCTTGCTGGTTGCAAACTCCATGGCCTTGGAGAGTTATCCTAACTTCACCAGGACCCTGGTATTCAGACTTTGCGACTTGATGTACCACGAGACCTCTATGTACAATCAGTTCTCCGACATGGTACCTGTGAAACTCCTGTCTGAATGGAGTTTCGTCCAAAGCATAATCCTTACATTGAGCGGCAATGTGTTCACCTTCACTGCAAACTTTGTTCTCGTAAACGTTAAGGCCAGCAGATGACGGAAGAGCAATAGGCAACGTAAAGGACCACAGGTCGCTTTCTCTCAATGTGCCCCCCTCTGCAATGGTTGAACCAAACTGCGCGTTCCTGTAATTCAAATCATTGTGAACTCTTACTGTGTTGTGCTTGAAAAGCTGGCTGTTCATGAAAATGTGAAATCCGGGGAGCGTCCTCATCTCTGCATCGTATCGCATTGGCTTGTCGATTAAAGATTGTAAAGCAACGTCGATGCGCCCGTAGAGCCATCCGAAACTGCTGCCAAGTATGTTGTTTTTCGTGTGCAAAGTTAAACTGTCTGCTCGGTGATCATCTATATATGTCGCCAATCCTAGAGTGAAGATGGGCAGGACGCGATGGGTCCACGGATCTGGGCGAGATGTCCATTCATCTCGCAAGTCCCAAATTCTCTGAGTGACCGCCTCGGCTTCAGTTGAGTTCAGAAGACCTGGGATTCGATGCACCTCAACATTCAACGACTCATACATGCTCATTCTTTCTTCGGTATCAGCTGCCATTACGGCAACCGCCTGAATTGACTGAAAGGGTGACGGTGACTCTCCCAAATAAAAATGGATCGCGTACGGCAGCATCAACACAGACGCAGTCATCGTCCACGCTGCGAAACGAAACATACATCTGACATATCTGCCACAACCACTGCTGGGACGACCCCGGCAGGATGCAAACAGAGACACCACATCGACGGTAACTGCCACTTGTGAGAGTAAGACCGTTGTAGCGACCAAGATTGCTGCAACATCCTTTGGATCACGCGACAAACTCACAGGGACGTAACCGATACCTGGAACGTAAACGTACCACCTGCCTCCGCAGCATGCCATGACAAGCGAGCCGAACATTGTGCTCTGAATGTGAGCGCAGTTTCCACACTGCCAGCCTGGCTTGAACAACACGACTGACCTGCCTTGACCCAGACCAACTTGAGCACAAATGGCCGCGGGAAGGAAAGACAAATGCCTTGGAATAGCATGCACGCGCTGTCACGCCGGCTGGCGGAGCACGTGCGGGCGGAGCGAGGAACGACAGAGGCAGGAAGCAGAAAGATACACGGAGGACAAAACATGATCGACCCACGAACCCGGAAAGGGATTGAGAACTGCGAGGCATGGAGCCGTTGCGGAAGACCTCAACTGCATACACTGCTCGGCGATGCCAGGGGGACATGCCAGGAGGACGCGCCGCGGAACGTCCGAAGGGGCGCGCCAAGCGACGCGCCAGGGGGCGTGCCCTGGGGACGCACCGCGGGACGTGCCAAGGGGACGCGCTACGGGACGTGCCAGTGGACGTGCCACGGGACGTGCCAAGGGACGCGCCGGGCGGCGTGCCAGGGGCACGCGCCACGGGACGCGCCGCGGAGCGTGCCAGGGAACGTGCCCGGGGACGTGCCAGGGAATTGCGTTAGGAAACGTGCCACGGGACGTGGCACGGGACGCGCCAAGAACGCGCCGCGGATCACCTGGAGCCTTCTGGAACCTTCGCGCCCCATTACTCGTCGAGGTGTCATGGGCCACGCGATCCCTCGCAGAGTGCGCTGCGTCCGCGCTCCCTGGCCTACGATCTATCGTAAATTCCGCTGGGCCCGCACTCTCAACGCCACGATCACCAGTAAGCGGTGCTGCGTCCGCTACCCCAAAGCCACGATCCCTAGTAAATCACTCTGCGTCCGCGCTTCCAGTGCCACGACCCCATCGTAAATTCCACTGGATTCGCGCTCCTCGTGCCAAAATGCGTCTAAAGAACGCTCGATCCCTGGTAAACGGCGCAGGTATACCGAAGGTATGCCAAAGGTACTCTGAAGGTACGTCGGACACACTCGTTGTAGAGGTTCCCAATCAGAGCTTGCCTCTGAAGGGGTCCTAGCGGATTCATATGGTTAGGTGAGGTTCGTCGCCGATCCGGGTGCCCGGGTGCACAGGTGCCCAGGGGCGCCTGGAGGTGCCCAGGGGTGCCCGGAGGTGCCCGGGTGCCTGGGTGCCCGGGTGCCCTGGTGCCCGGTAGCCCTATAGCCCTATAGCCCTATAGCCTTATAGCCCTATTGCCCTTTAGCCCAAGAGCCCGATAGACCTATAGCCCAAGAGCCCGATTGCCCTATAGCAATATAGCCCTAATAGCCCTATAGCCCTGTAGCCATATAGCCCTATAACCCTATAGCCCTGTAGCCCTTTAGCCTTATACCCTTATAGCCCTATAGCCCAATAGCCATATAGCCATATAGCCCTATAGCCCTATAGCACTATAGCCCTATAGCCCTATAGCCCTTTTGCGCTAACAGCCCTATGGCCCCATAGCCCTAATAACCCTACAGTCCTATAACCCTATAACCTAAGAGCCAAACAGCCCTATAGCCCTACAGCCCTATAGCCCTATAGCCCTAATAGCCCTATAGCCCTATAGCCCTATAGCCATACTAGTCCTACAGCCTATAGCCCTATAGCCCCATAGCCCTATTACTATAGCCCTAAAAGGATTATAATTGGATGTTTTTTCTCCGGTATCATTCTCTGAAGGTACGTCTGACACACTCGTTGAAAGTACGCCGAAGGTACGCTGAAGGTACGCGGTATATGTATTGTCTTTGTTTACTAGAGACGCTACTGAAAATACGCCGAAGGTACGATGAAGGTACGCGTGTCCAAAGCAGCGAATGTAGGCTGAAGGTACGCCGAAGGTAGACAGGAGTGGGGGGGGCGAGGATAGACCCCACACAACCCCCGCTCCCCCAGACCAACGCTCCCCCAGACCCCGCGGACCCAGCGGAACGGGGCCACATGCGACGGACCCAGAAACCCAGAAACGAACGCATGACGGCAAGGCTGGGCTCCCAGGCTAGCCCCATATTCTGCTCCAAACAACGCGGCTTGCCTCCCCCCCCCGCCCCGCCCCCCCCCCCACACACACACACACACACACACACACACACACACACACACACACACACACACACACACACACACACACACACACACACACACACACACACGTTTTGGTCGGCGGGGCGAGAGCGAACCTCTCCCGCTAAAAGCTACTAGGCGGGCCACGCACAGCTCCACACACACACACATACACAATCACACCAGACAACGAGGAATCAGAAAGGGACCTCGCACGGCGAACCAATGACCGAAGCCATTACAAAGGGACCACGCTCCCAAGGCAACGATCTGTCGCACATTCCGCCACATCATCCAACTCCTCCACCTCCTCCTCCTCCTCC